AATGTTAAGTATTTTGCCTGCCTCTTTACAGATAGAGAAAAAAGGAATTTTGATTCTACCTTGGTCCCCTTACCCAAGTGGTAATAATGGTCCCTTTGTTGCTTTTCTGAAAACCATCAGTAGACATGTTTTTGAACATCAGCTGTGTGGCAATTATGATGTTACATATTTTGCATACATTATCTTAAAATTTTATGAGCCAGTTATTATATTTTTATTCTGGAGGAGACTAAGCATCTGAATAATTAAATCCTTTTTCAAAGATCACCTGATGAAGATATCTTAATCCAAGACTATCTTCTTCCAAATTTAGCTCTCTTCATCTCCTTCACATACACAGAAGTATAATAATTTACTTGGAAATCTCTTGTCTCAGTTCTTCGGTTTAGTGTCAGCCTCCTCATGAAACTGTCTTCATTTTTCTAACATTTATTTAGTGACATACAAAGTCCTGATAATTAAAGCTATAAGTTTCTAAAAATTTGATCTAGTCTTACTTGCTTATTTCATGTAAAAGTTGACAGCCTGTGGGCGGGAAGGACCAGTTCACTGTCCAATTCCCCTTCTCTATTTTGTAGGGACCTTACATCATAGCGAGTATATTCCCTGGATTTCTAAGGTAATACATAAATCTTAATTACCTGGGGCAATAGTGCTTGGGCTTGAAATCAAATTTAGTGTAAGGCCAATTAAGTATTTTGTAGAAAGCAGCAAAGGTTGCTGAGACAGGTGGATGTGGTGATGAATTTGAAGGCTGTATCTCACTCACCAAACCAGCAGGTATTTAAACTGGTTTTAAAGATGGTTTATTTAAAGATGGTTCCATGGGAGTTGTGCAGTGGGCTAAAAAAAGTTTTTATCTCTGGATCATAAACCAGCACATAGACAGTCCCTCCTGTCCACTCTCCCCACTCCCGCCTTGCCCAGGGCTCCTGAAAAAACCCAGCCCTGCCAGAGAGAAAGGACTCAGAAGAGCCTCATTATCTCATTTTTGTCCACACATCCTGGAGGACAAAACAAACGTTCTGGGAGTTTGTGGCAACTCTTAAGCCATGAAGCTCAGCTGAGCGCCCATGGGGACTGAAGTTGTCTGTGTTGTCTCTGGCTCTCATGCTCTACCAGCCAGCACTTAGTGTGGTGTCAGGACTTGAACTCAGCTATTGGATGAAAGTTTTTTAGTATAACAGCCACACTCTTCCCTATTTCTGACTTTAAGTTCGTGTCAGGGGCTGAGCAGGTCAGTTGCATGATCTGCTCAGCATTTTATAATGAATGTTCTGGAATGATCTAGGCACGATTTAGTCACCTCAGAGTTGAATAGCGTGTTAACTTACTTCCCTTCAAGAGTCATTTTCAGGATTTTTAAAAAATCACCATCTTTCTCTCTTCCTGCTCTCATCTCTTCCTTGTCTCTGAAACGCACTATCTCTTTGCCATGTCCACACTTTTGCTCTCTAAGTCTAATTATCTTACATTTTTCATAGTGATTCCTTGGTGTTCATTATTGACTGCTTAGCTATAGTATAGTTTTGGACATTCCCTCTTTGCATTATTTATTGTACAAATACTTCGTTTACTTTATACTTTGCCATCCATGTACTGATCATATTTATACCCACATCAACCTCTTTTGTTCCCATTTCTTCTTCCATTTACTTTCCCATCTCTAAAATAATCCTTTTTCTGCTTTCTTTCCTTTTGAAAAAAATATTGATTCTACATATGAGAGAAAGCAAATGATCTTTGTCTTTCTGGTCTTATTTTACTGAATATGATTATTATTAGTGCCATTCATTCTATTCTTTATGGCTTAATACTCAACTGTATCAACTGTATCCATTTATCTATCATCTATCTATGTACATGTATGTTCATAGATATGTATGTATGTATTCTATTTCTTTATTCATCTGTTCATATGTACATAGGATGATTGCATAGTTGTAATCCCAGCTTTGTGCAAGATATAGGTATGAGGATAGTAGTTTGAGTTTGGTTCTGGGCAAAACTGTAAGAGGCCTGGGTGAAGTGTTACAGCACCTCTTCCAAAAACATGAGGCCCTAAGTTCAGTACTGACAGACAAAAAGAAAGGGAGATACATATATAATATATGCACATGTTTAGTAAATACATGTGCAGAAAAAAATCACACACAAATGAAAGAACCTATGTGAAAAATTGCTATAGCAAAAATGTTAGTTAAAAAACCCTAGCCGGGCATGGTGGCTCAGGCCTGTAATCCTAGCTACTCAGGAGGCTGAGATCTCAGGATCTCGGCTCAAAGCCAGCCTGGGAAAGGAAAGACTGTGAGACTCTGATCTCCAATAAACTACTCAGAAAACTGGAAGTGGTGCTGTGGCTTAGGTGGTAAAGTGCTAACCTTGAGCTGAAGAACTGAGGGACAGTGCCCAGGCCCAGAGTTCAAGCCCTACAACTGACCAAAAAAAAAAAAAGTTAAAAACCCTTCATTTAAGCCTTAGAAACACACACACACACACACACACGCGCGCGCGCGCGCCCACACACACACATGTTCTGCTGTTCTGCACTTAGTGTAGTGTCAGGACTTGAACTCAGATCTGAGGACTTTTGTTGAAGATCAGTTTATACCAAGCATACTCTTCCCTATTCTTGATTTTATACCAAGCATACTCTTCCCTATTCCTGACTTTTAAGTTGCATGTCAGAAGTTGAACAACAAAAGAATAAATAACAATAACCGCCCAAACACACCGGCCAACCCAAACCATAACAACAACAAAAGCCAAAACAAAAATCAGAAGAAACAAAACCATCAGTCAATCACTTCTTGGTGAGGAGAATTCCTCTCTCCCCAGGTTCGTCCATTTCCTGCCCACAGTTTAATTGGTAAGTAGGGAAGTTAATTCCTCTCTCTGAGATCCAAATACGTTGGACCAGAAAGCAATGTGTACAGGCTGAACCCTATCAGAGCCGTAGTTGTTTTCTTCCAGTCTCTGATCACTCATGCGTGGTCTGTATTTCCTGATGTGTTCACCCACAGTTTTCTTCTATGGTACGTAATGGCCCATGGTTCCTGCCCATGGCTTGTGGCTGCCCCCAGGTTCTCTCTGCAGGGTTGCCTGGCACACAGTTCCTCTGTGTGGGCTAGCATGGCCCACGCATCCCCATTATGTTGTGGTGGACATCTCAGTTTGTCTGTGTAGTGCTGTGGCTCAGAGCTCACAGTTTTGGACAACCCCTGCATGAATCGGAGTCCAAGTCGTAGCCCACATTGATTTTCAGAAAGGACGCTTGGTTATCCAACAGAGGGGCTGAGGTCTTTAGGATTTGAAAAATCAGAAAAAGGCCGAATCTTCTGCTCTCTGGAGGTGTCAGTAAGGCCTTTCTGAAGGTGACGCCATGATCCTTCCGTGGCACCAGTGCGTGTTTAGAGGGGGCCAGGACCCCATCTGCAGCATCTAGTTGCTGCGAGGAATGCAGAATGACAGCATCTCCAAGCCCCTCCTCTCCAGTGTACCAGTGTGCACTTATGAGGTCTCCAACGGAGGCTTTCTTTTCTTAGTTTTGCATGTAACCCTATTGGAGGGAATTCTTTGTTTTCCTTAGCACGTCTTGTCAGGGGCTTTTGTTTCCTTTATAAAGATAAAATTCAACATTTCTGGAATTCCATGCTCTCTCACTATGTATTCTTCTCTTTCTCTTCTTTTGTATTTCCACATCCCCTATCTTTCCCTGCAGACATGCACCTGATATATTTTTCTTTTCTTTTTTTTAGAGTTGGGGGGAACTTAGAAAAGTGCTTTGTTTCTGATTTTTCATATTCTCTTTTCCCCAACCTATAACATTTGTTGAATTAGGATTCATTCTACTTAATTTAGGCCTGAGAAACTAAATATTTACTCAAAGTCTCACAAGGAATGGATAGAAAATCAGTGTTTGCTTTCAGCCTTGCCTATTGCTGAGCCATCTTGAGTGATCTAGTATATTTGAGGAAATGGTTTCTTCATTGGAAAAGTCAATTTTATATCGGTACATATTTCAAAATTTTATATTTAGCTGTGTTTTAACAACTTGTTAAAAATTTGTTAAATAACTTGCCTTTTAACGATGTATATTACTGTGAAATCCAAAGGAGACCAGGTATGCAAATCATTTTAAAAGCATCTGTGGAAGGACCAGATAGAGGCCTTGGACTGAGAAATGAATGAAGCAAAGACTCAGCTCTCCAGGGCTTTGCAGAAGGGGTCATGCGTAGTTCCTCCTGATAAAATCTTTGCTAGAGAGGCAGTATGTGTTCCAACTGTCTATATCTGTCTCTGTTCTTTGACATTGCTCTCCCCAGAAATAGGACATTTGGTAAATTGGAGTTGCTCATGAGATAGCTAGAGGGAAGAAGCAATGTGTTGAGTCCTTTAGAAACTAGCCTTGACCCCTGAGATTTCCTCAAGGTTAAAGTGGATTAGTTCACCTCGAAGATGTCAGCATAACATGGACGCAGGAACTACAAAACCACTGAGTTATTTGAAAGTTCTTTTATTGGGGCCTGAGGAAGAAGGAAAGTACTCTAAAGAAAGACATTGTATTGGTGAAGGGTGAGGCCAGTATTAAACAACTCACAATGCTAATTGGGTGATGAGAAACAAGTAAGACAATAGCAGACTTCTACAGAATCCTCAGATGTAATCATTGGCAGGGAATATGACAGCATGGATGGTAGAAAAGGCAGGAGGGAAAGGATACCAAACCTCAGGGCCAGGTGAAGTAGCTGAAGGATCTCAGATGATTCCTGTGATGGCCTCAAAGAGCAGGAAGAGAAATCTGAATGCTAAGGAATGGCTTCATGTGGGAGATGGTGATGAGCAAGTCCTAGAGCTGTTGGACTATAGAAAGTTCTCTACTTTATAGTTTATGTGTCTGTTTTCTTTGTGAGCATGTTGGATGCATACATAGTGCTGATTTCTATTAAGGTATATTTATGTGGCAACAAAATTAAGGAAAGAGGGCCACTAAGTCTAACCTATGCACTCAAGGACACCTGGAATCTATCAGTGACCTTTCTGAAGGCAGCTTTCACATCCTTGTTTCTCAGGCTGTAGATCAGAGGGTTCAGCATGGGGATGATCACAGTGTAGAAGACAGACACAATCTTGTCTTCCTCCAAGGATGTGCCTGAGCCACTCCGTATGTACATGAAGGTGAGGGTTCCATAGAACAGGGCCACAGCCGTGAGGTGGGAGGCACACGTGGAGAATGTCTTGGCCCTGCCACCTGGAGACTTCATCCTCAGAATGGACTTGAGGATGAGCAGGTAGGAAATCAGGATGACCAAAGCATTGACCAAAATCACAATGTTGGCAAAGAAGACAAGGATAATCTCAGCGTTTGTTGTGTCACTACAGGCAAGTTTCAGCAGAGGTGGGAAGTCACAGAAGAAGAAGTTGATCTTGTTGTCCTCACAGAAGGAAAGAGAGAAGGTGCATGAGGTACGTATAATACCCCCAGACACACCACAGATGTAAGTTCCCATCACCAAAGTCCAGCAGACTCTGGGGTTCATGGCTACAGTGTAGAGCAGTGGGTTACTGATCGCAACATAGCGGTCATAGGCCATCACGGCCAGCAGGAAGCACTCTGTACCTGCACAGACGGTGAAGGAGAAGAACTGGGCAGCACATCGGCTATAGGAGATGACAGTTTTGTTTGTGGCAAGGGTGGCCAGGATCTGAGGGGTGATGACTGAGGAGTAGCAGGCATCCAGCAGGGAGAGGTGGCTCAGGAAGAAGTACATAGGGGTGTGGAGTTGGATGTCTACATGGATGAGAACTATCATGCCCACATTCCCCAGAAGGGTGACAAGGTAGAAACTGAGAAATAGTATGAAGAGGGGAACCTTCCACTTGGGGTGTTCAGTAAAGCCCATGAGAATGAACTCAGTTACCATGGTGAGATTATTATTAGCCATAGTATCTATGTAATCTTTTGATCTGAGGATGAGGAGGAAGGAAAAATATTCCAGGTTTGAATGACAATTTTTTTTCCACTGGTAGAAGTTATGTTTGCAATCCTATTTTTTTTTTTCAGAATGATTTTCAGAAATCTTTAACCTGGGTGATTTCCTTGGGCATTTCTTGAATTTTCATAGTGGTGACACTTGATCATGGGTTTCTTTTTTCAAATTAATTCTGGTTTATGTTCAGGAAATTTCTGTGAAGAGAGATTCAATTCTCAGGTTTTAAGAGGAACAAGGTGGCCATTTATTCAAATACCCTCTGGGTCCAAAGAAACATAGGTTGCATGGTTTCACTCATTTGTTGTAACTAGAATGTGCCTAGAAAGCTATACTTAAACACTGTGTATGGTAAAAAAAAACAACATAATACACTTGGACATCATAAATTACTCAAGACTCTAGGCATTCACACACTGAGACCACAGGAGGATATTCTTAGCAGAGGCTCACAGGGGAACATAGCTATGTGCATATAATCATACAACATGATGTTTATCAAAATGTACTCCCAGAAATGGAAACAAGTGTTTTTTTTGTTGTTGTTTTCCTTCCCCCAGCCCGCCTTTGTAGCTGTTTTTGCTTTCTATACCTTTTGTCTTATTTGTAAGTTTATCTGTCTTGAGGAGGGTAAACAGGAGCACAGAAGATGGGACAAAGGGTGAACAAATACAGCAATGATAATCAGTAGATGCTATGTTGAAAATGAACTGCGCAACTTGTGGGGGAAGGCGGCTGGGAGGAAAAACTGGGAGAAGATGAGGGAAGAGGGGCCATTGTCCAAAAGAAATGTGCTCATTACTTGACTTATGTAACTGTAACCCCCCTGTACATCACCTTTACAATAACAATCAAGCAAAACAAGACAATAACAATAAAAGAAACCCCTAACAAATGTCATCTGGGACTGCAGTCTTCAATACTCACTTCTATAACCACCATGCATTTGGTCAGGTAGGTATTTGCCATATAAGCTCCACACACAGAGTCCTTCATAGGAGTTGTCTTCCTCTTCCCAGTGGCCTACATGAATTCAATCTATTTTTTTCTCCGAAAACTCTTTATTTTTTTAAGAAAAAAACTGGGCCGGGAAGGTGGCTCAGTGGTAGAATGCTTGCCTTGCATGCCTGAGGCCCTGGGTTTGATTCCTCAGCACCACATAAGCAAAAAGAAAAAAGCTGGAAGTGGCACTGTGGCTCAAGTGGTAGAGTGCTAGCCTTGAGCTGAAGAGCTGAGGGACAGTGCCCAGGCCCAGAGTTCAGGCCCCATAAACAAGGTCTTCATGTTGACTATTCCCACAATGTCCATATTTTTTCTTTTTATATGATTATTCAAACAGGCAGTAAAAATTCCCTAGTCAGATAGTCTTAATAATGACAGTTGAAAGGACAAGTTGAATACATTGTGTTTAAGATGGTAAATATATTTAAACCCCTCATCTTGTCATATATAACCTTGTTGTAAGGCTTTGGACAAGTTATCTATACCTTGTGTCTCAATTTCTTATCTATGACACAAAAATATTCTGTCTGCCTGTTCAAAAAGAAATGTAGTCACTGCCTGACTTGTGTAACCCCTCTCTATATCATCTTTACAATAAAAAATTAAAAATAAGCAACAGAAAAACCCCAAAATACTATGCCTGAATCAGTGTATTTTCAATATTAAATAGCTTAATACTAAGGAGTGAACAGTTTCTAGCTTATAAAGTATTTTACATATGCTATTATTATTCTTTGCTGTCATTATCAGTTTTAGAAAGTATGTGCCTATTTCTGGTCTAAATGTTAATGCATTTCTCTCAATTGGGCTTTGCTGTATTGGTCTATATATTTATTTAATATATTTACTTGTTCCTATATGCCTACATGTCTATATGTTTTTATATATTGACATATTATTCTTTATATAGTTATACATCATCTTTCTCTATAGTCACATATCATCTATAGTTGAGATAGGTATACAAAGATTTATGTCTTTGTTATAATATCTAAGAATTTGGACTCTCACTAAAAATATGAAGAAATCACTTCTTTAATATTTCTTCTGCCCTCATTTCTATTCTATATTTTTTGTCGGTCATGGGGCCTGAACTCTGGGCCTGGGCACTGTCCCTAAGCTTTTAGTAAAGGCTATCACTCTACCATTTGAGCCACAGCGCTACTTCTGGCTTTTCCTGATGTTTTGGTGTTGAGGAATCGAACCCAGGGCCTCATGCATGCAAGGCAACACTCTACCATGGAGCCACCTTCCCAGCCCTCTATTCTATTTTTTTAAAGTCACTCTTTTCCTCCCTCATGTAACAATGTTATCACTTTTAGTCTGATCTTTAATACTTTGCCCATAGGTTGATTATATATATTAAAAAACTGTGGTGTTTAACTATGATGTTTGCATACATGCTGTGGAGATGCGGTGGACGACATATCCCCAAACTTTCCTTGCTTCTAGGAGAAGCTCTCATTCATCATGTGACATGAATAATCTTCTCTTACACCTTGACAGTTGCTCAACATAATTAAATCTGCCTCATCATAATTTCTGCATTTCATAAAGTTCCTTTTTGCCATATGGCATAGTTCTGAGTCACATCAAAAAGCATATGCTTGATGTGTCCATTTCCCACATATATCCAGGATCCCTATGAAAATGATGACTGTCTAATCATCCTTGGGAACTCTTGCATAGAAGTGCACAATCATAACTCTGTTCTTGAAAGGCATCTCTTTGGTTGCACAACGTTCTACTTACGGTATTGTGCAGAATCCTGGCTGGACACATAATGTGATTCTTAATTTGCAGATGCACAACTGAAGCCAGATATCTAAAACTATCTGGCTTTCTCATTTATAGGGGAGCCAGACCCACAGCAGAGTCAGAATCCTTTAGCCTCTACTGGTTCCCCTCCACTATCTGCTTGGCTCATAAAGCAATATTCAGATATCTTCAAGCTCAAATGTGCTCATTCAGGTTCTTTGAATCTATAGCCAAATCTACAAATTTGACATTTTTGATCGTTAAGCACTTCCTTTCTATCAGCACACCTGAGAATTTTATTTACGTGGCAGAGGATGCTGTTGTAGTAATAAAACAATGGATTCATTACAATGCTTCTTTTATAAAACGTTCTTGCACATCTTTTTATATCTGTAAGCCGCTGGGTTTGTTTTCACACTCTCTGATTGAGACTACGATTATAAAATGGCAGGGCTGTGAAGCTGGACATCTACTTTGATGAAAATGATCGTACCCATGTTCCCTAGAAGGGTGATGAGGTAGAAACAGAGAAATAACATGAAGAGGGGAATCTTTAGGGTGGGAAAGTCAGTAGGCCCATGAGAATGAAGCTGGGGACTGTGGTGAGCTTCAGCTTCACCATGGATTCAATGGAGACCTGGCCTAGGGGTGAGAATGAATTAAAATCAAATCCCATTTCTGGTAGGGATTGCAATCCTGAGTCTATTTTATAGAGCTTGTTTACCAGCAATCAAGAACCTGGTTGATTCTCCTTGGAAATGTGCTGAATTCTGGGACCTGAACTTGGAACATTTGAATTAATTCTGGTTTAAGTTTTGGAAATTTCTGTGAAGAGATCAGTGATCTTAAATTTTGAAGGGACCAAGACAGATACATAGCAATCTCACCTCAGACAGGAGACTCTTCCATGACAGACCTAAAACTGAGCCCTCAGAGTTGGAGAATTTCTCCTTTTTACTTCTCTTTTCAGGCCAGTAAGCCCTTTCCTTGTTCTTTCTACACACTGACCTCCCCAAATAGATGAATTAAACCTCTTCTCATGATTGCCTTCTACAAGTTGGAAAGTGATGGATCGGCTCTTCCTGATGGCTGTTTTCTTACAGTGAACTGTTAGATGTTGTTCTTTTGATTGTGTGATTATTCAGGAAGGCAGTAAAAATGGCCTAAGTCAGTATTAATTAATAAGAAAAAGCTTTTCTCCCCAATTTAGTCTTTACCATTTCAGCTCAAAGGCTGGAATATTACATTTCAGTTTTCCAACCAATTTTGACATATTGATTTTAAATAAGTTCAAAGTTGTAGACTTGATGTGCATCAGTTTTATGTGGCTTTGGGAATATTTTCTAATCCCTTTGTGACTTAATCCATAATGTGGAATTTCTAATTCATAAGGTAAAAAATGTAGGCTTGCATCATAGGGTGACTTTGAGAGTATTATATAATTTTATATCTGTAAGGATTGAGCAGAAATGCTCAGCATGTGGAAAAGAGGTAAATAATGTTAGACACTATTATTTTTGCTAGTGTTATAGTGAATTTTAGAAACATGTGATTTCTTGAAAGATACTGCATTTCCTTCACGTATATTTTGCTGTATTGCTGTCAATATCTCTCAAACCTTTTTTTCCCTCTATACCTCAGTACCTATACCTGTAACTTTATAGATACATAAATATATCTCTATTTTAATAATTAAGTATATTTTGGCTCTCACTAGAGTAAATAGAAAGTCACTCCCCTGTCTTGTCTTCTCTATTTTTTTTCTACCCTATTAAAAAGAGTCAGCTAAAAAAAATCCCATTCATGTAACCATACCTGCTCTTCTACTTAAGTCTTCTTACTTTCTCTGTGGGTTAGTTATAAAAATAGTTAAATGGTGCTTCGCTTCACAATGGTGATTGTATACCTGCCAAACACTAAATTGCTAGTATATGTATAGTATATGTATATGCATAGTATATGTAGAAGAAGAGATGTCTGTAAACTTCTGTCACTTCTCGGAAAAGATCTCAAACATCAAATGAATGATTGATTCTTGTGCTTTAGCATTTGGTAAAATAATTGTATTTTGTTTCTTTTACATTTGAGTCATGATCATCTCTGCAGTTCCTAAAGTTCCTGGCTGCCATAGGCCATGGAGTTGAGTCACATCGAATACACACACACTGGTGGCTGACCATTTCCTTTGTGCATCC